TTCTTTGCACCTCCAGTCATACAGGCTGGCTTTTACAGGCTCCCGCAAGTACATTATCCATTGTTTTTTGCCTGGGTGCAAGCTTTTATTTTGTCCTCTGAGACCTTGTATCCCTGATGCAGCTGTAGACTCCCTCCTTACCCTGCTTAAAAATCACAAGACTTTGCCTTGCAATCTGTAAACATGGTTGCTTTTCCTCAACAAGCACCGGTTCTGCCTGCCCCAGGAGAGCTGCAGTCATCGAAATTGGTTTTAAATTACATTTACAAGTAGCCCCAGAACCTTGTTAAGATGTGGAAGATCCCCATCTAGCCTGCCCTGGCTAAGACATCTTTAAGACAAAACCTAGCTCTGGGGATACAACATTGCCAGGGGGTCCTGTTCTGAATCTTGCCCTTACGAAAGTGCTGAATCGCAGCATCAGCGTAACTTAGGTCTTGGGGCTTCGTTCGCAACTGGGTTGAAACAGCCAGGGAGGAGAAGGCAGCTCAGCTCTTCCCACAGTCCTTTGGGCCAGACCAGCTCTGGCATAAATTAGAGAAGTTTAGTGGCTACTCTCAGTTGCACTGGCTTTTAATGGTCTCCAGGGGGCCATAATGCTTGGGAGACTCCGGACACAAATACTCTGCAGCATCGTTCTGGAGGATGATTCCTCAGGGCAGGCTGAGCTCGTGCTGCCTTGATTGGAGGCTCTTGCTTCAGACAAGTAAGAAGCTGCAGAGCACGGACCAGTCCGAAGCCTTGAGTCATGTTTAATACACACCCTGCCCCTTAACAGCACCTCCAGCAAGAGGGCAGGCTGCAAAGCAGAGGAGTCCTGCCTGCTTTCACCCCACCCCAGCTGGCCAGGGTGGAATGTACATAGCTTTTGTGCACCAAGGACTCAAGTGGAGATCTGGTCACAAAACACAACCCCAAGAGAGCCTATGTGGCACCAGAGAGCCACTGTGAGGCAACAGTTCCCTTATGTTTCTCTGCTGATACTGGCAATCACCTCCCTCGGTTACTGTACCCTGTGCAAGGGTCTTCATGTAAGCTGGTGCAGGACTTTGCTCCAGAGGCAGAGCCCAAATGGCTGGGGCCTGGAGAAAAGGCTTTCCTGCTTTCCTAACTAGGGCTGAAGGATAAAATCATACCCAAGCAGACATTTTGCTTGAAAAAGCCTCTAAGCATGAGAGATGCTGCTCCTCCCGCAATGGCAGCATGAAGTCTGATTAATAAGCCAAGTGCTGCCCATGGTTACAGTCAGGAGGTAATGAAGTCTTCAGCTGGCATAAGAGGGGCTACCAGCTGGTGTCCAGAGGACACTACATGGGGTTTCCAGTTAACCCAGTCACCTCTCTTCTGAGCCTGCCCAGGACATTGCTAGGCCCCTTTTCCGGAGTCCCCAACGGTTAATTTTAAAAGAGAAGATGACAATATGGATTTCCTCCTTAATTAACAGTTTTATTAAATAACCCATTTCAAATAATAGTTAAATTCTCTAAATTTATATCATTCTATTAACCATAATCTAATCTCATTAACCTTGAAATCCCCAGTCTTAACTACCCAATTCTATACACCATGGTGCTAGCAGCTAAACTAATTAAATGACCTTCAAACTATTTCTCCTTCCTGCATTGGCATTATTTATCTTTGCTCATTGCTCTTCCTTCAAGCTATCACAAAAATCATCCTCTATGAACTCTGTTCCTGCATGTACTCAGTACTAGATACGCCACTACACTTCCTTGCAAAATCCATCAGCAATGTCCTCAGTTTCACTCTAGCTAATATATTCCATCAGCAGCAACGGTTAGCGTGCTCACTCCTTGGCTTTCATTCTGAATACCTGATGCTTCCACGTCTTCATTTATTTTGCTGTCATTCATTGTCATTACTCAAAGAAGTCCTTAAAGCAGTGACCTCAGATTTAACTACACAGAGAGCTCCCATTCTGAGCCACTGGTAGAGATATTGTGCACCATGATCCTCAAAAACATTTTTCTTAATCTCATTCTTTAAACAAGTTCCTCTGACTCCCCTAAATTTTGAGCATGTTGACCTCTCCTTAAGCATCCCAGGACTGAAGACACCGTTTCTTCCTGGGCTGATCCAGGTTTAGTTTAAAAGCCATCTACCAAACCATTTTGTTCAATTAATTTCCAAGGAAATGGAGAGCTTGGCATTCTTGCTGTCCCATTTGACAGGGCTGGAGTTATGGCAGAAGAGAAATGGAGGGGCTCTTTTTCTATAAGCTGTAGAGAGTTTGTGACTTCCCTGACCTTTACGCAATAATCATTTATGGAATAAGCTGCAGTATTTAGGGCAATGAGACTGCGGACAACAAAGCGGGATGTTATCTGGCCTGCATCTAAATTAATTTGTCTAGATAAGCATGATGAACAAAATATATAGGCCTGCAAATACTTTTATTTAGCTCTTGTCTTCTGTTTTCTGGAAGTGAATGCAGAAGCAGATTTCATTTCTCTGGTAGAAGGTATTGGGCTGTGTATTTTACTCCATTGATGCACTGTACTTGAAGAAGAAGGCACAGTAAGAAGGCACTATCAATGAAGAAGTGTGCAGCCCACTCCAGAGACCCCACAGATCAGCTTGAGAAGGCATTCTTCAAAGCTTACGAACAGGAAGTGCCACTTTCTATCGTTTAGTTCTTCCACATCCAACACGCATCCCTGAATTTCATCTGCCACTTTACTGCCCCTTCACAGCTGGAGAGCTCACTTGGACTTCTAGAAACTGGAGGAGAGCCTAGAGGAGGGAAGAAGGTGACCTATGCCTGCCTGCAACCCTGTGAACTGCAGCCTCACTTTCTTGAACACATTTCTTTGGACTTGAACATACACTGCCATTGTGGAATGCATTTCCCTCTACCGCCACCACTTCAAAATAGAATTGAAGCCTTTCACAAGATTGGCTGCAACATAGCTGAATTTGTATCTATCTTAGCTAACTAAAGGCAGGCCCTTTAGAGGACACTATCTACTCTGTTTAGGTCTAAACATCAGGTTAAGAATTTTAAATCAGAAGAACTGCCATACTGACTCAGACCAATGGTCCCTCCAGGCCAGCATCCCCTTTCGGGATGCCAAGGGAAAGAACATGTATGAACAGGATCTCCCTTGCTCTGTTCTTCCCTCCCAGTCCATGGCCCAAGCTGTTCCTCATTCAAAAGCTGCCTCCAGATTTTAGTGGTCAGTGATTGTCTGCAGATCTCTTCTTTAGAAATTCACTTAGTATTTTTCTGAACCAACTGATACGTTTGGTCTCCACAACTCCTGTGCCAATGAGATCCACAATTTAATTGCTTGCAATTTGCAAAGAAGCACTTATTTTTATTTCTTTTAAGCTGTTTTCTGATTCTTTAATTAGGAACGCCCTTCCTCTAGCAACATGAAAAATAGCATATAGTCTATCTGACATTTTTATACCTTATTTTATAAATCCTGAAGGCATTCCCACTCTCTGTCCTCTCTCTTCCAAGCTGCAAGTCCTAATTTATTTATTATCCCTGTGTACAGATGCCACTCTGTGCTACTGATCATTCTTGACAGAGGATTCTCAAATCTTTCCTAATTCTGAGCAGATATATGGACAGTATTTTTTCTGATGAGGGTAGTTAAGTGCTAGAAGAGGTTACCTAGAGATGCTGTGGAATCTCCATGCCTGGAGATATTTATAACGTGGTTGGACAAGGCCCTCAGCAACCTCCTTTAGACTCGCAGTTATCCCTGCTTTAAACATGAGGTTGGTCTAAAAATCTCCTGAAGACCCTTCAAACTAATTTTTTGTTGGACTTTATGATTCTACTACTACAATCTTTTCAGATGGGGCAGAGGCAGAAATGAATGTTATGTTCAAGGTATGGGCCTACCATGCCTTTATTCTGCTACAAAAGAAATGTTTTCTGGGATGCTTCTTGTTTGCTTTCTGATAATTCTCTAGCATTTGATTTTCCTCTCTGGCCTTTGATGAGCACTAAGCTACTGTTCCCAATGATCTGCTTCTGAGTAACGGGAGCTAATTTTGAGTCCATCGTCGTATGTGTATAGTTAGGATTGTTGTTCCTCATGTGCATTATTTTGCACTTGTCAACATTGAATTTCATCTGCCATTTTACTGCCCACTCAGTATCGTGGGCTTCTTCTGCAACTCTTCATACTCAGCTTGAGATCTGACTATCCTGAACAGCTCTGTAGCATCTGCAAATAAGGTTTTACTGAAATGGCAATGAAGATAAATGTCTTCACCATTTTGTTTCTTTAAATATCAGTGAAAGGAGTACTCCTGACTGCTCAGATTGCGAGCACTGCAAATATTTCATTAATTCAGGAAAGCCTAAGAGTGAAATAAACAAACTTAGGTCCCATTTACATTACAAAGAGCTACTATACTGCAGAAACTGGCTACAGCACAGGAGCCTAAGACACAGCTATTACAGTTTGGCACAGGAACACAGCTGAACCCCCTTGGTGGGTTTTTGCTGCCCCACATGCTGCCATTAGAAGTGGTCCTTGCCCCCTGCACAACTCTTCTGTTTCTCTGGGTCAGAAAAATTGATCAGTTTCTCTTTGGCACCTGGGTTGAGCAAAACGCCGAATTACATTAGTAGCGAAGATAAATCAGATTTCTGAAGTGCACACTTGTAACAGTCAGAGGGGTTAATAGTAAAAGATGATTGGTTTTGTGAAAATTATTAACCTGACAGCAGTCTCTTTAAAATAAATCAGTCTTCATTTGGCTCAGCTAAGGGGTCCTGGGTGGGGAGGCAATCACTCTCCCCTTTCCGGGGCATGGAGAGATCCCAAGGGCCCACAGCTCCCCCTTCCCTTTGCCTAGGCGACAAGACACGCAACCCCTGTGTTCTGCACTGCAAGGGTTTGGCTGCGCTGACCCTCCTTCGTGAGGCAGCCGGTCCAGCCCCACCCTGCAGATCAACAGACAACAATCTCTTACAGATGGCCTCCTGGCACAGCAAGCCTTCTCCAGAGCCTCACCTGTACTCCCTCTCCTGAAAGAGCTGAACAAGACTGGATCTGCCAGACTCTGTCCCGGATTGTGTGTAGGTTCAGTCCCTCGGCAATCTCTGAAGCAGGGGCAGCCGTCAGCAAATCCTGCTTGTTAGCGAATATGAGCACAGGGACTCCACTAAGCTTTTCTTCATCCAAAAGCTCAGCCAGCTCCTATATCATTTACAAGGGAGTGGGGTGGGGGGAAATGGAGAGACAGAAGGGAAGAAAACCTTCAACCACCAGTGGTTGTCTCTAATTAGAAATATATTTAGGGCAAATGCTAGAAGAGTGTGTTCCAGTGAAACCTAGATCTTATTATAAGAGAGCAAAAATGTATACAATCATCTCTGCCCAAGGTTCAAAAGCTATTTCTTCCAATTACAGGTTACAAAAATCTTCATCTTGGTCTGAAATTAGCAGTTGCCTTAGAGGCTACAACTCTGTGTTTTACCAGTCCCTGCTCCCAGGAGACCAAAATTGATGAAACAGCAAAAAAACATGTAAATTGGCAGTATGAGGAATCTGTCTTAAGTTATTGCCTGACTGGCATTTGTACCTGAGCAGCCGTTAACACCAGCCCTGATATCTTTGCTAATAATGAGTTTCAGGGTTTTGTTCCAAGTTTTATACACTGCAATTTGAGCAGAAGAGGACTATTTTTTTCCCCAGAAATGGAAATCTCCCTCCCACAAGAAAGTGCCGATGCTTTTGAAGGCATTGGCTAGCTGAAGACAAGCTAGATCAGCTTTACTAGCTGGATTTTGGCTCCATGTGCACAGCATACATTGGGTGGCATCTTGAGAAATGGGTTTGTTCCTTCAAAACTGGGTGACTCAAAGAGATTCTTTTAATAGGTCAAATCTGAATCTGCAGTGGATCAACGATAGCTGAAACACTTCATGTCTAGGGTTGTGCAATGGCCTTGTGTGAAACAAGTACACAGTCTCAAGTCACTTCCCTATGTGAACATATGACAAACCCAGCAGAACTTGAACCTGTAGGGACTGCTGGCATTGCAGATAGATGAGTACATGAGATTTATGTGGGCTCCTTATTTAGCTGTAAAGGTCTTCTGCTCTCAGATATCGCCCTAACATCTTTCATCCACTGGCTAGAAACTTTTGGATTAAATGAGTGCAGTCGGGGAGATGCTAAACTGCAGTGGAAATCTGACTCCATCCCCCCAAAAGCAATGTTTGGTTTGGAAACCAGGATGAGAGAATGGAGTTATAAACAGAGTTGGCTGGGAATTTTTCAGCAAAATAGGTCTTTCATCTGACACGGCTGATTTATTGAAACCAAAAGTGTTTGCGGAAATATGAGGGGTCCAGGCTGACTCTGCCTGACTCAGGCAAGTGCTCTAAGCTTCTGCTTCCTCTCCCTGTCTTTTGCCCAATGAATATTTAATTACTGATATAAAATGAAATAGCTCCAACAGGGGAAAGATTCCCCCCACGCCTAGAACAATCAACAGTTCAGCTGTTAGGGTGTGTCCATGATACTTGAGAGGGAAAAGATAAAGTGCCTCCTTCAAATCAGGCATAACAGAGGGCTTTCAACTAAATCTCCCATTTCTGGGAGGTAAATCTGTTGCTGTCTATTTTAGGACACTGTCACTTTCTGAATTTTACAAAAGAAAGTTCAAAAGTCCTATTTTTGTTCCATCCTAAAACACAAAATGTTACAAAACATCAAAACTTTGCAAAACGGAAATCTTATTTTCTGGCCAGTCCTACTTACAAAGTTCTTAGGTTTTTTTCAATTACATCCAAAAGACAATCAAGTCAATATGATTTCCATTTCAACTTTGTAAATAAGAAAATAGGATTCCTCAGGGTCTTGGTTTGGCAAGGTTTAAAGGACTTACAGAAGTTTTTGCTTTCAGTATTAGGCTCCATTTGCTATTATTGTATAACTTTAATGAAAACCGTTCTATTTAAACAGAATTAGGCTACCTATTTTCCTTGTTTCACATCTACCAAAATAATCTGCATTGATGTTGAAAGGCAAGTCTCTTGAAATGCAAATTTCCCTCATAAACAACAAAATCATATTCCTAACTTTTGTGAGAAAGGGGCACTCAGATGCACTGAGTTACTTCAAAGGAAGCTGGGCGTAAGTAACTTACCTGACCCGTTTCTTCAAACCTCTTCCTATCTGCACTGTCAATGACATAGATCTGAAAAAGAAATGAGAGAAAAAGTTACTATTCCCAGAAGACACTCTTCCACAGTATCACACGCTTAAGTGAGCTGAGCCTAATAATTATGCTTTTGGGCACAAAGATCCCCAGTATTATTTATAGCAAATGTTGACAAAACTTCATGACGTTCTGAAGGGAGAGGAACGACCTCTTCTAAAGCTGGGGGGGTGGGCAGCCACGTTGGTAGGATCAGAAGGGAGCTGGGGGCAGTACTGGGGATGCTCTCACCATCTCCAAAGCATCTGTTATCTGAAGAGGAGACTGGTATCTTTTCAAATGACTGGCTTACAAGCTGAAGCTGAGCACAGGAGGGCAAAACCTGGGGAGTCAGACATGGTCTTTCACCCTAGCAAACAGTGTACAAGCACTGCACTGGTGTGACTATGCCATGCTGCCCTCTAGCAGGATGCATCACCTCCTCAATAAGCCACCAAGACACACAATGGCACTCAGGGGACAGATGAATATATTGGGGACATTGAGTTTCTCTCCATCAGGCGGTTCTACTGCAACCTCCTGGAGCAGGTGCTTGGGGAAGAGGGCTGAATCCAGCCTGCAAGACTCCATCTTCAGCTGCCAGATTGTCCACCAGCATGATGGACAAGACAGGGAGCAGCTGGCTCACAAAGACTGACAGTGGAGTCCTGACACCCTCTCAGGGCTGGGCACCACATCTCATGGTCCACGAGGAGATCCAAACCAGACACCTGTCCCCTGGTATGGAGAACAGTATACCCCCCAGCCTGTAGGCTCCCTGCCTTAGGAGGGGGTCTCCACCCTCTCCAAGCAGCACGGCATGTGCTGATTTCTTTCTGTAAATGCAAATGAGCCTTCTCAGCAAAGGCAGCTCTAGGTTCGCACAGGCTAAAAGGCTCCTTGAAGGACCTCCTAAATATGTAATTAGTAAGTCCAGCAGCCCTCCTTTTCCCTAGCAATGCTACTGCAGTTCAGAGTGTACAGGTATCAAGCTACATCTAAAGAAACAGGGAACCTCAGTATAACACTCAGGCAAGAATAGCCTGGCATGCCTTTTTCATTACTTGGTATGGGAAGGTTTTTGAAGGAGAAGGGCGCTGGGACAGCAGACAGGGACAGGGCTGGTGACAAACACTGAGCATTTTGCTTCCAGTCCCTGCCATTCCCCATCAGTGGTGATTGAAGCTGCTAGCACATCATCTGCATGCTCTTTGGTGGCTTACAGGGAGCAAGTGTCAGTCTGGTTTTCAGGGAATACATGAGCACAGCACCCCACCATCAAGATAAATGGCATCCTTGCAGGCAGTCTCAGCATAAGACTCCACGCTTCCAGGATAATTTCGACCAAATAGTAGGGGGAGGGAAGATCTCTAGCAGCAATATCTATTAAACTGTAGGCACTCCCTTAATGAGCAGCGTTAGAGTTGTTTGAAATGGGACCAAACAAGCAGCAGGAGAATGTGTATGCCAGGCCTGAGGAGGTAACCCAGCAACCTCACAGACCTCTCTACTGATCACTTGGGGTCTGTGGTCCTCCCAGGGCCAGGCTGATGCACGCTGACAGAGGCTGGGGGACATGCGGCAGGGCAGGACGCAGCTGCGTGGAGATGCGTCAGCACCGAACTCAGTTGGTGCCACATGATGGGGAAAGGCCTGTAGGCACGGCATGACATACAGCCTCTCCCCGCAATGTGATCCCAAGTACGTGCACCAATACTGTATCAGCCACGCCCGTCCTCTCTGCCCCGCCTAAGCATCCACCTCTGTGCATCCCATTTGGGGTAGGAAACACGGACCAAAAGAAAGGAATAATCATAGAATTGTTTAAGTTGGAAAAGAGCTTTAAGATCATCAAGTCCAACCACTAACCTATCCCTGCCAAGCCCACCACTAAACCATGTCCCTAAGCACCACATCTACACATCTTTTAAACACCTCCAGGGATGGCGACTCCACCACTTCCCTGGAAAACCTGTTCCAATGCTTGACAACCCTTTCAGTGAGGAAATTTTTCCTAATATCCAATCTAACCCGCCCCTGGCACAACTTGAGGCCATTTCCTCTTGTCCTATCACTTGTCACTTGGAAGAAGAGACTGACACCCACAAGAAGCTGCAAGGTTGGCAGTTGTGCTCTGGGGTGAAACTGGACTGTCATCTGTCCTTGTTTGGGACATCTCAGGGGAAGCTTAGCAACACATGAACGCAATAGTCGAGTGCTACTTCTCAAATGAAAGGCAGCACCTCCCATATTACGGTGCTTCTCTAACTGGCAAGGAAGAGCTCTGAGTCCCAACCAGCCAGGCTTTCTCCTGCACCACTCTGTTCCTTGCTAGGGAGCTATTTTGCAAGATGAGAATTGGAGACAACAGCGCTTGGGGCAAAAGCCACAAAAGCACAGCACAGAGAAGGTAAAGTATGTGCAGAGTGCCTACTTCCAAACCAGAAAGCACTGTGCCAAATAGCTGCAGGTGCCTGTCTGAATATGCAATCAGCCAGATATCCACACCTTATTTGCCTGGGTTAAGCTTCCAAATATCACAGGTGTGTGATGCAAGACCAAGCTCTCATTCAAAGGCACCTGCATGGATTTGAATTTGCAATCACTTCCTGCTTTTTAATACTGTTTAAAGGGTCCTTTCTGCTTTGTGTAATATGGTTTAGGAGAAGACAGAAGCAGGGGGTCCTGGGAACTGTAGTGTATCTCATTTCCACCTCCCTTCTATGGCCAGGGGCACACAAGAGCCTGTTTCTGGCTGTGGTGCTCAGTTGCACAGTTCGCCAGTTTGAACAGCCATTGAATATACCATGTTGGAGAAATGGAGTTTGAGAAAGAAATTCCTGTGAAGCTGGGTGCCTCCTTTGAGCAACATGCCAAAACAAAACCTGGAGTAAGTGGGTTGGGCAGAAACTGCAAGTGGTGGGACTGGATGAAGAAATAACATGAGGGATAAGTTGGCTCAATTTACAGATGCACAACCTACACCAGGTTTGTCAGAGGGTAAGATTACCGGCTAAAACAGGGGTGAGGGCTGGCAGAAGACAGAGTCATCAGCATATACTTGATCCCAGTTTTGGTGTGAATGGACATAGCAAAGCACTGCACTAACACGCCAACAGCTGCCAGTCTGTGACTGGGTGTCAGCACGGAGCGCAGGCAGGGGAGTTCAGGTCCATGTGCGCACCAGTTATTCCCTCTGAATTCACACTGCTGCTTCCCCCACACTGATTCTGCTTCTATCTACCCATTTTCTTACTCATATGAAAAGAAAGGTTTTATCTGTACATTGCTTTAACTGGGGTAGGAGGAGGGCAGGGAAAACAACTGCTTTCATCACCTTCAGTCTTCAAATTCATCTCTATTTCTGCAACTCCCATGCAGCACACACTTGGAAGGGTGGAAGCCCACAGACCAATGTAGCTCGTTGCCTTTGCCAGTGGAGTCTTCCAGATATTGTTTTGTGGTTGCACAGTCTCTGCAGCCCAAGCACCTGCCATAGTAGGCAAAGATCCTCTAGCTGCTGCTTTGCAGTGTGGACTTTGATCTGCACACCTACTGCCTCCCCACCACACACAGTTGCAGAGCTTGGACTCAATGGGCACAATCACCTCACAGCCATGCCATGCCCCCCTTCTTGATGGCCACAGAGGAGCACGTGAAGTGTGTCCTGCTAGTTTCTCAAACCCAGATCTTTCCCCTAGGAAGATCCCACCATTAATCTTCGCAAAAGCAACCAACCAGGTTTACGCTGTGGTGGCTGCCCTCAAACATCAGATTCCAAATTATGGCTGAAAAAGGGGGATCCGCCCAAGAGATTACTGAGGGTTTATTAGTCCCATTTAAATAACAGCTTCATTTGGACAATGCTTTCTAAATCTGCAGGTGCAGCCAGGCCCTTCAGGACCCCGACATGAGCCTTGGAGCAGAGAATCCTCTTCCTAGTGGCTCTGATCCTTCTGTGGAAGTGTACTGAAGCTCCCAACACGTTAGTGAGCATGTGTGTGTGACAGGAGGGAGGAAGGGCATCTTTCCAAGAGAGCTTCCCGCTTTCCCATGGGAGTCCTGCAGACCTTGCCTTTTCTCTGCTCCCATAGGCAATATTGCTTGGGGTGGGGAGAGGCCTGGAGTCCCCAGTCTGCCTTCATCCTGGCACACATAGCTGCATGTTAGAGGTGCTCTTTGAAACTAGTCAGGACAGCACTTGGAGGGTCCCAGGGTAACATGCTCTGGCATGGCAACAAAAAGGTCCTGCATTGTAAATATAATTGTAGTCATCTGTAGCTAATTGTAAGGTAATCACAGCTAAGATATCAAAAACATTAAAGGACAGTCTTATGTTAAAAGGACCAAAGGAAAAGATAAGGGCTCTTTCTGTGTCCCTCAGCCAGAAGCTTTCCTATCTGATGCCAGACATAGCGTTTTATTCTGGTGTGCCTCAGTTTCCCCAACTAGAAAAAAAAAGGCACCATACTGACCTACCTCTACACATGAGGCTTAAGTCACTAATACGCATGACGGGCCTCCAGAGTCTCCAGTGAAAGGAGCTATAGATGGGCAAACTACACGTTATTAATGTTCTTTCATTTGAAGGAGACTGAGATGAGAGGAAAGGAACTGGCTATAACCAGCACCATCCTGTGAAAGTAAAAACATACAACTGAATGATTTCTCCAAACATCACTGTGTTTTTCTTACTGCACCCAACCAATCTTGCCATTTCACTCAGAGTAACTCCTGTTACAATGGCAATGGTGTTGCTGAGGACTGGGACATTACATTACTTGTTCCTCAATTTCTGGCTGAGACCTTGGAAAGCCATTGCATGAACACGGCATTCAACTGCAGCCAATACTCACAAGGATATCAGTGTTTTCAAAATAGTTCCTCCAGTACGGCCTGATCTTCCTCTGTCCACCTATGTCCCATACATTCAGCTTGAAGCCTTGAGACTGTACGCTTTTGATGTTAAAGCCCTGGAAAGAACAGAAACAAAGCCACATAGAGCATAAACCTGAATGGCTGGATCACGTATGTAAGCAGACATTAACACTTTATATATCCCATGCCTGCAACATGCAGCGAGATGGGCTGGGCAGCCGCAAAGATGGATTGGCTGTGGGAGAGATGCTGGTGAAAGTGAACACAGCTGCCAAACCATCAGTTTGCCAGTGTTCTTGGGTCAAGGGCTGATGCTGTCATGGCTACAGAGACAGTTAGTGCCCTGGGAGGGCTCAGCAGGGTGGGTGCAGGAAGAGGTGGGAGAGCTGCAGATAAGGAGAAAACAAGGGCACTGTGAGAAGCAGGACTGAGCTTGTGAAAGCCGAGTAGAGAGTCCCAGCTAACATGAAGCCAGAGGTCTCAGCTCAATTCGACACGACACAGCTAATGCCGGGCTTAAAAGAGCAACAGCTGCATGTCTGAAGGGTCCATTTCATCAATTAGAACACCAATTGAAAGGGCATTCAAGTAGAAAAACAGGATGTGGCATGGACTTGCAACATGCTGCCACACCACCCAGGGGACTGGGGCTTGGAATTGGGGTGTCAGGGCTGGAAGCTTTGGGAGGCAGCTACAGGGTGAGGGGAACCATCTCCCATAGCTCTCTAGCAACCTCCTCTGGCCAACACAGGAGTGATGCTGCAGTGCTTCTGATGAGAGACATCCCTCTCCCCAACCTCGAGGCTCAAAGAAAGGGGACTAGAGGCTTCAGAAAGGGAGTGCTGGAATATGCAGGATCCTTGGAACTGGCTGGGTGAAAGATGCAAGGAGACAGGGGCTTGCCCAAGTGCTGCAGCATCCCCTGTACACATCCCCTGTTTGGCAAGGGCAACAGGAACAAAGTCTCATCCATGCAACCGTAGCATGACCCAAAAGCCTTCTGCAGAACTCCACAGCACTCGTCCACTTCTGCACTACCTGACAGATCTGGCCTGATGCTCTCTGGCTCCTTCAGGGAGCCTCCTCTTAAGCAAAAAACAAACAAACTTAATGGTGCACCAGGCTCCAGTTGCTCCCCCTTTTACTGAAATACTCTGCTGAATCATTAGTGCTTTGTATAATAAGGGACCACAAGAACTGCCTTGGGCAGGGAAAGGCCTTCCTCACCTGTGTTGGCGTGATGTGGCTGATGTCCTCAGATGCCAGCTGTTTCAGGAGTGTGGTCTTGCCTGCATTATCCAGTCCCAAGAGGAGGATTCTCACCTCCTGGTCTGGGGCGCTTTTCAGTTTACGCAGGATTGACAGTAAACCCTAAATCCGCAAGAGAGATCATAGCTGTTATTTCCACCCCCAACTGTCTCCTCCCACCATGCCATGCCCTCCTCCCTTGAAATGGGTTCTGTATGGCAGTGGATCCCAGGACACCCTGAACCCCTTCCTGCAGTCCCTATTACCATTTCCTCTTCTACTCCTCTCCCTCGCCCCTATTTTCCTGCATCTCAAAGAGTATCGACAAGGTCTCAGACAGCACAAAGGTCGCTCAGTGGGGTGCACCACTGGCTGCATTGCTTGTCACACAGCTGTTCGGCATTCCCTGTGCCAGGAAGATAGTGCCTAGGCATATCATGTGTGGGAGCTGCAAACCAAGTCCTTGTGAGCTCTTCATTATCAGAGGGAAAACCCCATTAATTTAATCTCCCTCCTAGTTAACTGCAGGTTACTATGTACCTGACATCAGTTCTTTTCATAGTAACTCCCCGATCATCTAAAACCCCGTTTATCTGTCTAAAACATGCTGGACCCATGGGGCATGTGCAGTTCTGATTCTCAGGATGTAGCACTTAACAACTATCTCAGATCACCACACATCCTCGCTAAGAAAAGCACAGTGGATTTCAGTCATTAGCCAGGCTCAGCTCTCTGAGCTGACAGTATCATTCAGGATTAGGAAACAGAATATGCAGGTCAGCTCATTTACAACCGCGCACAGTATAGCAGCACACCCAAGCTTTTGTCAGTGCCGCCTCTCGGAGACCTGCGCCTCTCTAAAATGGCTGGAAAAATATTCTGGATCCTGGCACATAACTGAGAGATGCAAATCACCCCACTTAGGTTCTCACACCCCAGCCCAGCCCCACAGGAGAGGGGCAGTTGCAGCCAAGGGCACAGGAGCAGGCTGCAAGTCCATGACTGCCTGGGTGTCCTTGGACACATTGCCACACTGCTCTGCACCCCCCTGCTTGGCAGGGACTGCTCCTCGGAGTCTGAGCGGCACACACCACACTGAGACCCAGCCTGGGGACACAGATGCTCTTGCAACTAATCTGCCTGAGCAAATCTGGGAGAGGAATACACCTACAGCCCTTTCTGGAGCCCTCAGGACTCCTGCTCAGTCTCTCCCAGACAATTCCCATGTTGAAGCCCACTAAGACCCACAGCCAGGAACAAAGTTCAAATATCAGCACAAACCTGGGCCCACAGGGCCCATCTCTCAAGCTTTTTTGTTCTCCTATTTGCAAAATGGAGACAATGCTTCTTGTCAACCTGCAAGGGTGAATCAGTTAAATGTCATGAAGTGCTTTGTTGCTATGAGGAACTACACCCTCTAAATATTCCTGCTGGGAGCCAAGGACTATTTGAGCCGTGAAGGTTGCTCCCGATCCCCTCCAGATCATGGCAATCAGAAACCTGTCCTCAAGATAAAGAGCTGCAGGACACGGTACAACCTTGACCACTGCAACACGTCCCCCATCTGTAGCAGTGCCCTTCTGCCGACTCCTGGAGAGCCCCACCTCAGCCATTTGGAAACCACCGCTTTCGACCACTCATCACACTGCTCCAAGGTGGGGAGTGCTTTGGAAAGGACACAGTGCTACAGGTTGTGATGCCAAAGCTTTCAATAATGCAGGATGAAAACACAGTGAGATTCAAATGCATGTGAGATTTGATCCACCCCTCTAAGCATTTTCAATTTGCAAGTAATTTACCAGTTTTCCATTTAAGTACCAGACAACTCAAAATACATGGACGATGTGTAAGAAACAGGGAAAAGAGAAGTAACTTAGTAAAACTGGGTTTCAAGGCTATCTGTAGCAAGTTGCAGGATTGCCACTGTTGCTGTTCTTTTAAAAAAGCACAGTGGAAAGCTGAGGTTCAGAAACGCAGAGCTCGTGCAAGGAACATCAAAACTGCAGTCTTAGAGCCCAATAAGCAGGCTCAGGGTGTCACCTATTTCATAAACAGGCTGGTAAAAAACTTGGAATCCAGGTCCCACTCAAAAGCTGTTAATCAGGAATGGGCTCTGCTTGGTAGAAGGTGCCATGCCTGCAGTGTGCAGGCACAGTAAATCCCCAAACTGCTTTTAGTTGAAGCGTACAGGCCTGTAACATCACATGCTGAGCCCTGAGGGCCAGATGCTCACAGCTGGCTCTCACCCATGGGCCCGTAGCTAATGAATTTCAAGGGCTGTGTTCAGTGCAGCCAGTCGCTGCAAGCCCTCCCAACCCAACAGCTCATTTCCCCGGCCGCAGTGCCCAACCCATGTTCTGCCCTGATGACAGTCTGTACTTCCACACGTCTGAGGGAAGAGAAAAGGATCAGTGACAGAAATACCGCTAATGCTTATTTGTTTACATGCATGTCCTAAGTGCCCTTGACATCATTAAAAAACACAAGTTTTAACTGCATGACTAGCAACACATTTTCTTTTCACCTGCAGTCAAATTTACAGTTGTGTTTGTTGGCTTGTAAATCCATGGATTTCAGCTCAGTGTGGACAGACCCCACAGGAGCAGGAACTCTAAAATTCACACACTCTCCCTCCTTTCCAGGGACACACTGAATTTCCCATTCTTATGGGCCTGACCCAAAGCCAACACACACCAGCCCAAGTACTACTGCTGACTTCAGAGCGCTCTGAATCAGGCCCTATTATTTTAGTTTATTGCTCACAGTTAAAAAAAGAAGCTGTTGAAATGCTAATCCTATTCACAGCACCACTTGCTAAGAGCAGAGCAGTGTATCCCAGAGCCGATCAGGATTAGGAGCCTTTATATTTCAGAATTCAACTCCAAAATACTGAGCGCAAAGAAATGTATTACAAAGTATTGCTTATCTACCATGGAGCAATTCTCAGGGGTCAGGAAGAGGAACAGTTGTAAATGTTAATAGAGCTTCTCCCATTGTAGACAGATGCTATTTCTGGGCTAGTATGACAGCCTATGAGAAAACGATCAGCATCGTTCCATATTCTACTCAAGTGACACTGCTGCATGGCTGATCACAGGATTATCTGGGGTAGCCAATAGAAGAGAGGATATATATAGAAATAAAAGTATTCTCTAAGGTATAAAGTAAGCTGATTTAAAAGGCTGGAAGACAAGCAAGCCAACATAGAGAAGTGGACTTTATTTCAGTAGCTGCCAGCATAGGTTACATGGTCTGTATACACAACTTAAATCAAGAGCCAAACAATAGTATTAGTTACTATGATTGTTACTATTTTGTAAATATTATGTAAAACTTGCACCCATCATTTCCCTCTAGTTAGTGAAGATTTAAGATTAAAGAAAGCCATATACAGATGGGTTTCTAACATGATTTTTTTTTAATTAGTCTTATGAGCACACTGGCTAGGAAGACAGAAAGCATTTCCTGACAGCTTAGTAGACTGGAAAAAATAACTCAGCTGAGTTCCCTGCTGCATGCCACCACTATGTGGGACAAGCAGCCCTTACTGCACACACACTGATGGACAAGCACTTCTCTGCTTGCAAACACAACGTTGAAACTAACTTAGGCTGATGAGAGTCAGAAAGCAACCCCTTGTCATTGATGGGAGATGTCAGGCAGAAAGCCATGAAATGGGAAAATTTGGTGCAAAGAGGATGCTCAGAAGCAACAGGAGAGGAGCAGGCCTTTGAAGCAGGGCAGAAAAAAAAAAAAAAAAAAGTCACAATGGTGGGACTTAACCCAGGATGCCTGCACGGCAGCCAGGCCAGTGGTACTCGCTCACTGGGCCGTCCCGGGTGAGGAGCAGGACAAGTCTCAAGCAGGACAGTGGAGACATTAGCTGGCTGAGGAGCTGCAGAGACAACTCACAGGAGTATAAGGGCAGACTCAGAGGAGTATAAGGGCAGCATGTCATTTGCACAAAACTAAGCAGACTGCGGCATCTGTAACAGAGAAGGGAACTGCAGATGCTGTTCAGATAATGAACAGCACAGCGTGGCAGCGCGTGCAGCCTTTGGAGAAGGGCAGCCATACGGAGCAACTCAAGGCTGGGCACAGTCAGCCAGCAACTGCTTCTTGGTCACCTCTGGGTTAAGCAAACTATGTTTTATATCAGATTGGCTTGTTTAAAAACATCTTTGTCCTTGGTGGAGCGGGTTTTCTTTACAAGCACCATGAAGAGACAGACTGATGGGGTCAGCAATGAGGAGACTGCATTTTCCAGACAGTGAGTGGGGACATACAAAAAGAAAAAAAGACTCCTGACAATTACTATGAAATCAGAGTGGGGCATTAAATTCAGAGATGCAAGTAAATGGGCAAGAGCACTCATAAACATATCAAGCATGAAAGCGAAGCTAACCATCTTATTAGCATCTTTCAGAAAACAGGGATGTGTGGTTTTATGAAAGTATATCATTGCTAGGTTTAAAATACCCACTGAATTATCAAAGGACTTTCAGTTATAGCTGCATGCAGTAATCCTATTCTCTTAAAAAAAAAATACAGACATATATAAAAATACAGTGACATTTATAGTCCTAGCTAAGGGTTTTGTGGGTTTATTCAGCTTTAAATCCATGCTGTATATGGGTCTTTTGAACTAGTTGATGCATGTAACTACATCCTGTACCACAGAAGCCGCTGAAAGGAAGATTCACTTTATAGGCCAAAGCAAAAATTGGTTTGGGACAAACAGAGCATTGCAATAATCTGTTTAAATATTGTATCAGATTGGCAATATAAAGCCATAATGGAAAGAACAATTTCCCCTCGTACTGAGGGCTGGATATACAGGGCATGGATAAAGCATGGCCCACAAGCCACTGCAGAGCACAGTTGATTCCTATTAGGACAGAGAAGTAAATGTATTCTGTTTAACTTTATTAGCCACAAAGCTCAGATAATGAATTTAAAATAAAACCACCCTCAGTCACCAGCAATTGCTTATCTACTAGATGTGGATATTTAGCTAGAATCAAATTCACTGAGATGCAATACAGCCACAAAGCTCAGCACCTCAGCCTGCCGCTGTGACCACATCTCCCCCATCTCTACACCCTTGCACAGATGCCCTCTTCCCTGCTGCTGCAACCACAAGTCACTTGTCTTTACCCTCAAGGCCCTTCATAGCCAAGCATGTTTGCTGTGGAGTTGACGGCTCCTGTCTTCCCATGGCTTGTGAAGCCAGCCCCAGCGCTGCCAAGCTCTATTCTCAAACCTTTGTGCCTTTCCTACAACGTGGGAGAAACTTCGCGAAATATCCATAAAACCATCCCATGATTCTCCTGTGAATTCCTTCTCTGCCACACCTGCAATCCTTGATGAGGTTTAGGTGGCGAACATGCCAAGTTCGAACCTGTCTTGGACTTTCCTTACTCATATCGCTTGGTTATCTCTCACCTCAGACAGACCACATTTCCATGGCATGGGGAACATCTCTGTGTTCTGCCTGCACAGCACCTAGTGCAGCTCTGGCCCACAATTTACTTGTAAGCAATACGGTAGCAGTTCACCATTTTTAAAGCATAAGTTAAAGATAGAGGGTGCACATGATGGTTTCAGAAAGTCACACAGGAAAAGCTGACATGGGGAAGGACAAGGGGCTTAGTTGAGCAAAATATCCTGCCTTCAGCAGTAGATATTTGAGGCTACATTTGTCGTCCAGGGTGCAATCCTGCATACACAGAGCTGGAGGAGGGGAGTCCTTCCTGACAACTGCGCTGATTAGCTGGTGCCCTGAAGAATGATGTTTGATTACCTTTATCTTCGGCTGCAGAACTGCAAATGTCACTAATGGTCATAAAATCACCCAGTCTTTTTCAAAATACAACTGAAGTAAATTAATCTATTGAGCACAGTTTATTCAATACTTCTTACTCTGGCAAAACTCCCAAAAAAATCATTTGCTTGCTGCATGTCTCCACCATATGGTGTCATTCAATGCAGACTTTCTTTTCTGCACTGAAATCCAAAATTTAATGGAGTCGAGTCACCTACAGAGTTTTTCCAGCTCAAACCTACTAACATAGTTTTCTGTCAAAGAGGTCGCACAGCATTTTCTGGTTTGGTATATTAACCAATACCAGCATGAATCGTCCTTTCATAATTAAAATCAAACTCCTCTGGTTTTAGCAAGTTTGAAGGAAGTGCTTTGCCCTGCGCAGAGTAGAGTTGATGCCTAGTACCGGACTATGTTAGCAGTCTTTGTCTGGTTTCAGAACTTGAAAGTCTTGGCCAGTTCCTGCTATACTGTCCTATCTGCAGGTAATTTCTCATATCAATGTCTCAGCAATCAGTAAAATAAACCAAAAACATGACATGGAACTGTACTGGGAAACTAAAGCAGCAAGGCACTATTAAAGCTCTTGAAAGCATTTTTTTTTTTAATGGGGCCATTTTAAATAAAGCCTCACTGCCAAACAACGAGGGACAAAAGGAAGAAATTCTGGGTACTAGGTACACCTACAGAAGGCAACAGAGAGATGCTGGTTTTGCTAGAAACATGAGCTCAAGACCAGAAGAAAGGTGCCCGACTACGCGTTTAGGTATGCTGGTATTTCATCCTCTCCAACAGATCTGCCTAGTGTCAGCTAGACACTCCATGACTCAGTTTCCTCAACTGTAAAATGGGGCCACGTTTTGACAACCCTGGTTTTGACACGATGATGTCATCTACAATCAATGGTTTTAGAAAAACACCGGCCATTCTCTGGCCCTGCTATCTATCAATAACATACCATCTCACTCGTTAAAGATTGTTATTACAGTGATGAGGAAGCCACAAGCTCTGCTTCACACAGCATTTCCTAAGCTTTGGAAAGCAGTGTATCCTTTCATGTAGCAGCCTCCCTTCGCCCTTGCTGTGCGCCCACCACAGATGCTGCTTAACGGCGCCAAAGACTTCAATGCTACACATCCCTCATGCTACACAGTTTTATGGCTCATCTTTCCCTCTGTGCTCCACCTATGACCTTCTACCACCCCTGCCCCACAGCTGTGAGAAATGCTGGTATGCTCTGCAGAAGGAGACACTTCCCCTCTGTACTTACTCACTTGGATGAACACTGAAATAATTTAAACCTCACCATTAACCCTCTTATCACTGGAGTTGGAGCAAGCAGTCGTTGAAGGGGGTTTAAGCACTTCCCAATGCAGCCATGACATGCCAGAAACATGCTCATGGGCAGCTACCACGGCTCAGATGACAAGCAGTAAATTGTTACATCAAGTTGTCTGGATCATTTCTGACTGCTGACCCACACCCCCAGGCTGCCATAGCTGCTTTGGATATATTTGCTGGTGTTTCAGAGAGTTTCCACTACTAAGGGTTATTCTGTTTTAGTGAAAGTTGAGAATCTAGAGAGATGGTACAGAGCTCTGCAGTCCTCTACCCAGCCCAGGCAGTCCATCAGGCACCCCAAAGTGCCACCCACCCTGCCCAAGAGGCTGCAATTCAAAAAGTAACTCCCAGAAATGGAAAATAGACAAAGAGGCAGTAAAATGTTGTATCAAATAACATGAACACTGGGAAACACCCAGTGTACCCTCTCCACACACAAAGCACTCGGGTAACAGCAGCCAGATCCCAGACTACACCAGCTTATCGTGAGACATCACAATGCAGAAGAACAGATTTGGCCAGCAGCAGCTGCAGGCCAAATGTGTCCCACAAAGCACTGTACTGCTGGAGGCAGCTGCCCTCATCTTTACAGCAGATGTCCATCCTGTGATGGCTTCAGTGTCTGGTGTGACATGTTCCATCATCGACTGATCTAAAATAGAGCAGATCCCACAGACCTTATCTCAATCTCTTTCTCTGTGGCCCAGCAGGTGGGGACACAGCCAGAATTAACCCAGTGAAGATAAGGAGCTGCCTTTGCTGCTCTTCTTACGCCTCCTCCCGTGCTGTCCACTTGCATGAATCCAGCTTGTGTCCAGAGGGCTCCTGGACTAAACATGCTTTGCCCTTGGGAAAGCTCTTTCCTCACTGCTATTTCCTTCTGCCTGTGCTCTCTGCACACCACTGCATCCTCAGCAGTGGCTCCCTCACCTACTGCAGCTCTCTCTTACCACCCCTCACCTGGCAGCCCCAACTCTTCCTTCCAGTCTTTGCTGGCCTCTGCCAGCATCCCACTTGTCCCACCCCAACTATTCCAGCATCTAAACCCAAGTTGTTTCCAAGACCCCAGTCCATCATTCAACCTTACCCCAACCTCGATTCAGACTACACCACACCCTCACCACCCTGCCCGTCTCCCAGCATTGCCCTCCACCCTAACCAGATCCTTCGCTGCACCCAAGACCCAAATTCCTCCCTTCAGTCCACATTGCTCCCCCTCAAACAATTCAATTCTCCCCTTCCATACTACTTTCCTCTCTGGGTCCTCTCTTTCTCTCATCAGCATCAAAACTCCACTTCCAGCCCTTTCTACTGTGTATTCTTATCTCTTCTATTCATCCCAGACTATCACTGAAGTCCCCAGCCTCTGGCAGAAACCCCCAGAGCACACAACATCCCAGCAAACTATCCTAGCCAGCCATCATTGACTGGGATTTCCCGGTGACTCACCAGACTGTTTATCCCACCCAACTGGCAGGTTTCTTTCAGCCCCTGAGCACCATGCCTCAGTCCTATCCATCCCTGAACACCCAACTTCTTCATCCAGGCTTTTGCTGCCATGACTGAGCTCCCCTTCTAAGGCTGTTTACCAACAACCGGCCCCTCCACCTCAGCAAGCTATCCAATAGCTCCCTCAACTCCTGTAGCCAGGATCCAAGCCCCACTGTGGCCCCTTCCCACCTTGGCTAAATTGTCCAGTGTCCCTTCACAATTGCAGATACTGCCAGGCCCTCCACAGTACTGTCCCTCAGCACTGTCCTCCATCCTCACCAGGCTTCTCCATTGTTACTTCTCTTCTCAGGCCAAGCGCGCCACTGCTGTTCTGCTCCCCAGCCCACCCAAGCACCCAACCCTCCATCATGGCTTCCACACCTTGACTGAATCAACTCCAGACAGGCTGACTCCATCCCAACAAAGCCCCCCCGCCCCCAGCATCCTCAAGCCTCCCAGCCCCCGCCAAGACCCGATTCAACCCCCTTCCCCAGGTCCCCCATAGCCTCCAGCTCCTGCCAAGACCCCGACTTCAACCAGGAGGCCCCAAATTTACACTGCCCCCAGCCCCAGGAGCATCCCTTTGGCTGGGCACCTCCAGCCCACGTGGACCCAGGCCCCCATGTCCTCCTCAGTGGATGCCCCTGTCCTACCAGGTCCCCCGTGCCCCAGGCCTCCACGCTCCCCCGGGGTGGGCGCCCCCGATCCCAGTGATCCCAGGCCTGCCAGACCTCCCGGGTGGGTGTCCCCAGCCCTCATGTTCCCAGGCCTGCCAGAGCGCCTGCCGTCAACCCCGGCCGAGCACGCCGGCCCCACGGCCCGAGGCCCGCCAGACCCCCGGGTGGGTGTCTCCGGCCCCCATTACCCCACGCTCCCCCGCGGTGGGTGCCCCCGGACCTCAGGCCTGCCAGGCCCCTCAGGCGGGCGCCGCCGGGCCCA